ATCAAGCCTCTCAAGGAACAGTGAGTTGTCCTAAAAATCTGATTCCCAGAAGCACAGCAAGTGATTTCAGCTTAAATATTTACTAGAATTAAAAGTTGGCAAATAACCATGATGTCCAAGGCCTAGAGATTGTTACATAACCATCCTTCCTTCAGTGGAGACAATGAGGTCACATGTTTGCCTGTCTAATCGCTGATCAGGGACATGTTTGATTGCAGATAATGTGCTCACTGGCCCACAACTTAATTACTGAGTGTCTGAATCAACAAAGTTTTCAGATGTAGGTCTTGCCTAATGGTGGATCTGCTAGAGATCATTGCCTCTGTTTGGCCTTTAAACGAAAGTTCTGGGGGATACAATGGGCCCTTGCCAGTGCTGTTCTCTATGACCTCTCATTGAAAAACATGCCAATTCCCACGGTTTATTTTCCAGCCAGCAATAGGCATTATCACTTATATCCAGGGCCAAATGGAATGAATGACTCTGGGGTAGCAGATATTGGTAAAGCCCCTGGTGGAAGCATGCTCTCCAAGGAAGTTAATGGCACAATTTGGCATATCTGCAGCCAGAGTCCAGTTATCCAGAAGGGGAAGGTTCCAGAGCATCGGGGAGGGGGGGATTTCTTTCCCAAGCTGGTAGAGAAAACATGCTGGGAAAAGTCTAGGGAAATAAGCAATAAGTAAGGTAGGGCCAAAATGTTGAGTCTGTGGGTCAGGGTCCTAGTAGTGAACCAGGATCTAAATACAGAGTTTGGAGCCTAGTGGGTCTCTCATTAAGGGACATCTCTTCTGGCTATTTCCTCCTTCCAAATTCCCCACCCTATGCGTATATGGTTTCCTGGGCTCCAAATGGAGCTCCCACCCTCCTCTTCCTAGGCCATCATTATCATAACCAAGATGCCTGACAATGACTTCAAGATTTGGGAAAAAATAAGTTTGGCATGGGTTTTTCTTGTTTTTGTTTGTTTTGTTTAAGGTTTAGGGCATCTTGGTCTATGCACAGTTATTATTTAATCACTAGAAAGAGCTATGCCCATTTCCTTGCCTGCAAAATTAAATAAATGCAACATGCCGTTTTATTTATTTATTTATTTTAATATATCTTTATTGATTTCAGACAGAGGAAAGGAGAGGGAGAGAGAGAGATAGAAACATCAATGATGAGAGAGTCATTGATCAAGCCCACAACCCGGGCATGTGCCCTGACCGGGAATCAAACCCCGATCGCCTGGATCCCAGGTTGACACTCAACCGCTGAGCCACACCCAGCCAGGCAACATGCCATTTTAACAAAATTATAATAAAGTTGGATTCACCCAGATTATTTTAGGACACTAACCAAGGACTAATTTCCAATACTGTGTAGAAAGTCCATGTCCCAATAGGCATCCAGCTCCCTAGACATTGAGACGTGTTCCCTGGCTTCTTCAAAGTCCTGTCACCCCCTACTGAATGCAGAGAAACTCGGTGCTGGCCAGGTGAGGAGGGTGAGGATTGTCTGAGCCCAAGCATCTTTCTGTGTGTGGCCAGAGCCAGAAGATAAAATATAAAACAAAGCAAAACAAAACTAGAAATAAAGCACAAAAACTTTCCCCAGGGTTTTTTTGTTTGTTTGTTTTTTTCTTTTTCCTTCCTTTCTTTTTTTTTTTTTTGGCCTGAAGCTTGACATTAGCTATAAGGCAGTGTGGCTTGTGTGGGCGATTGGATTGAGCATTGGCCTGTTCCAAAACGCTGCTGAACAGAAATTCCTCCAGGACCCTGTCTTGTCTAGTGCACTATAGATGCATGAGGAATATTAAGGAGCAGGAATTGTTTCTAGAGAAGCCTAGAACCTTCGTTCTGTATGTCTAGAGACCAGAAGCAACCCACACACCAGGGTAAAATCCTGCCTGTACCTCCTCCCTATCACTCTGCCCAACTTGTGGTCAGATTTGAAAATTAGAGTTTATAGGGCAGACCTGCTTTTGCTTTGTGGCTCCTCTGCAAGCACCTGAAGCCCAAGGAGAAAATCCCCTTTCCTCCTGGAATCTGCATCTTCAACATATCCTCATTGATTCAAGGGAGGGCTGCTCGTAAAAAAAAGGGGGGGGGGGCTTATTACCTGGTAGCACAGTCTCTCTTAGTTGGGGGTGGCACTAAATTATTTTGCAGAGAAGTCAAATGTTATGGGAGCTATTTTTCCTCCTATAATAAACAAGCATATGATTGAAGGATATGAGGCCAAGAATCTGAAAATGATTGCTTAATTGAGGTTGTTTTTCTTTCTCTAAGCAATACTTTTAGATGATGGTGTTCTTAAGGCTGTAATCTTATTTTATAGCTGAATCCCATCTTTTATAATCAGCATAGTTTTTTGACAGTGTGATTTGCCTTCATCATGGAATTTAAGCAGGTTTGGGCATTTGCTTAGAGAAAAAAGGAACTCAGTGTATGAGCTCTAAGGGTTTTCTTTGCCTAGCCACATGCTGGCAAGTTGCCTTATCCTTAGTGGTTGCTCTGAGCATGGCTTGTTGACTGAATACACGATCGTGTCTGAATGTTATGACAATAAATCCTCTCCTTTGGAGAAGCACAGACTTTTCATTAACGGCCTGTGAGGCAAAGAGCTATCTGTGGGCTACACTAATGCAAATATTCAGCATCAAGTTAAAAATCCAAGGGAGCATTAATTATCAAGTTAAAGGCAGTTTCTGTTTCAAGCTAAGTTTAAAGCAATGAGATAATGTCACACATCTTCAAAGGGAACTAGTTTTAGTTGATCAACCTGGAGTCCCTGAATCCAATGAGACCTGTTCTCTTCCCCAGGAACCTTTCCATGTTTTATCTCTGAGGGAGGACCCTAATTTTACATCAGCCCAAGAATGTAGGAGAGGGGGTTTCACAGGATGGTTCATTTCAATTAGTGGTGATGCTTATATGCGCCTAATCACAATGGGAGGCCTTTTGTAAATCCTCTGACTGCTCTAGTGAAAACTGAGGATGCATTTGAGGAAATATCATCCCCCACGCCCTGGGCCTAACTTGTAAAACTCTACTCTGTCATTCACCTACTCGGGAAAGGAAGCTAAACCTTCCAATCTGTGCTCTTAAAGTGTAAGGATCATAAAATATGAGTGGTTGAGAAGATTCTTGAGAGCCTTGCTTGTTTCACATGGCCTCTGCTCCAAAGGGAGAAGCTTTTCAAGTGTCCCACGCAGCTCTGAACCCTGTGGTGCCTTCTGTCATTGGTGCCTTAAGCACAACATAAGGAAATCCCATGCCAAGGAGGAAGGGAGAGGTGGAGAGGGAAGCAAGGTGATTGTCTAGTTGAATGTGCTCTGTTCCTGCCAGCACTTAGCACAGAGTCTGCCTCAGAGAACGTGGCCATGCAGTGTGCGCAGAGTGACTGTCGTATGGTATTCTGGATCCTTACCTGTCAGCAGAGTATCTTATAGTCAGTACTGGTTACAGCATGTGCGCTATAAACTGGCTGTTGTACTTTATGCTTTACTTGAAATACTCAAATCAGTGGTGTTTATAGTTTTTTACTCTCTCCTAATGAACCTTCAACTACTTGTACCTTGTTTTCCTTCATGGAAAAGTTGCATAATAATTGATTGCTTACAAACCTGTAAGAAAAATAAGGCTGTTTCAATGTGCTGTATGGGCTTTTAAAGAGCCATTTAGCAAGAAATGTGAATTTTTAGAATTATGACCTCACTGAAAATAAATTTTGTCTTTTCATATATTATATGTATTGTCCAATGAATGATGGACTATAGACTTGCTAAATCCCACATACAGTGAATTTGAGTCTTAGCAACAACCAAAAATACATATTAAACATAAATCTCTCAAAAAAATCCATTGAATTTGTCTAATGATTCTGGTATGTATCATGCTGCAAATTTGACTTGAGGGACTGCATTAAAATATGAAAACAGTTTTTATAACATCAAACCATAATTTAGTTTTGAAACTGGACATGGATTTACTTATATATAAACAAGTGGAACACTGAGGTAAATTTTGTTCCCCTGCCCAGCTCCCCTCATTAGGAAGGCATGGAATGGCCCAAGGCAACACAGTGCTCTAGGATTTAGAACCTGCTGTGCTGACAGGTGATCAGGCCGGCATATTTGGTTCTGATTGATACTCCCCGCCCTGTATGTCTGTATCAGATTGAGATCACCAGGATAAGCCACATCCCAACGGGAAGTCTGGAACCCATAACCAGGTGGGAGCCTGTTCAGAAAAACCTGAACCCCTGAGACGCCACCAAATTTGCAGCTAGTCACATGTGTGCGCAGGGATGGTCCAGCTTTGGAAAGCTGATCTCTATGAAACAGAAAAGCTAGACTCATTTTTGCTTGGGATGTTTAGAAGTACATCTGATTTTCTTAAATGTCAGGCACTGAGGAAAGGATAAAAGTCATGGTGTTGGGGTCTCTATATACCAGGTGCCTTTACAACAGTGTGGTCCTGAAAAACCGGTGCCTCAAATCTTCATAATGTGAAGTTGTCTGGTGATCTGGGAAGATCAGAACACTGTAGAGGGGCACGGGTGATTCCTTTTGGTTTATGATCATGTTGGCCATTGATTCAGTTTCACAGAGAATCCCCATCTTAGCAGCAGGAGACACAGTTGATCTTTCTTAGGACGACTAAGATATGATCTGTCCCTCTCTTCTGTTCTAATTCCTCAGCTTTATTTTATTGTGCCTTGTAATGAACTCCATCCTACCCAGGCAAAGGGAATTTCTGACCCTCTATGGAAGAAAAATGCACTCCCCATAAAGGTTATCCTTGGAGGAGAAATATCAATGATGCCCAGTTCCTCAGGCAATATTTAACTTCACTTGCACTGACCAGTCAGCTATAGTTTTACCCCGGTACCCAATAATTCAGAATGAGCATCCCCCACTTAGGCAACGTGTGGTTTGGCTGGCTCTTATATCTCATTTCTGTCTATGTGGGGGAATATGTAGCTCTCTAAAAATATGAAAATTAATTTAGTCTTGATTCATATTTTACACTTACTTGCATATTTATTTGAACTCATAAAAAGTTTATTGACATAATTTAGAAGGTGAAGAACTAAAATACATTCCAAATAATGACCAAAATAGTGTGGGAAGTAGCTTAGAGAGCTTCCAGTCAAAGTCACTGTTATACATATGGCCATATCCCTCTCCATAAAATATTCCTCCTCAAAACAACACCTTCCAAGAGGTGAATTCTTGAACTATGTGCCCTGCAAGATGCCAAACACGAAGACAAATTAAAGTGAGAGGTGCAGCCAACTAGAAGGAAGAGATATAAATGTACAAACAGGACATTTCTGCTAGAGCCTCAGGCATTCAGGAGGTTCATAATCTTCATACAAATATATAAAATTTTTAGTGAGCTATTTTCATTTTAATCTGTTCTCCTCCTCTTCAGTTCTTCACATGAAGCCTGCAAAAGAGAAACCAAAGGAAGAATTCGTTTCATTTTCATGAGATATTTTTAGGGGCAGCTTGACTTGTGATAGGTACAAGTCAAAATCGAACTTGGACACTTCATCTCTCAATTCCATGAATGTAAAGTGAACTATGAGTAGAAAGTGTGACCATCAACTGTGGCTCTACTGATTTAAGTAATTTCAAACTATGTGAGGACGGCTTCCTTCTGAAGGATTTAGAGTATGATGCTAACCTTATGGTTATAACTTGCAAGACCTCCGGTGCCTGTGGTCAATGTGCAGTCATGGCTCCAGCTCTCCACTCTTCCCTCCACCTACCCCACGGCCGTGCACATTTCAGTGTCCTGCTGTTGTGGAAGGGGTGTGATTCCTCAGAGCTGAGTTTGGCCACATCACTTGCTTCAGCCAGCAGTGAGCCCAGAGCAATAGTGTGCCAGTTCTGAGCCTAAGCCTCAAGAGGTATCACATGTTTTTGTTTACTCTCTTGTGCCTCTGCCATTGTCCTGAGCAGGGTACACCCAAGCTCACCTGCTGATCCCAGAAGATGGATGAGAAACATGTGGAGCAGAGCTACCCCACCTAACGTGCCCCAACCAAGCCCCATCTAGCCCAGAGCCCCCAGCTGCCACAGATGCGTGAGTGAGCCCAGTCTAGACCAGCTGAGCCCCGACATATGAGCCAGAATAAGAAATGACTTTGTTCTAAGCCATTGGATTTGGGAGTGGTTGGTTCTGCAGCAATAGCTAATTGATATGGTGCCATTTCTTTTAAAAGCTCTTGTAGTCAGGGATCATTGGACATTATTTACACATTTGTTTTCCATTTTTCTTTTATGTCATTCGTTGTCATCTTTCCTTATGTGAACAGGTTGAACCTTTTCTAAGAAATGAAATGCTCACACTTTTTTCTATTACAAATGGCTGAAGAAAGAGAACTCCACAGACAAGGCTCTCCCCTGCTGTGGCAGACACTGTGATGTGGCTCTCTCCATATCCATCCATAGTCACACTCACCCTTGCTCTTTACTGCAAAGACTGGTCGTCAGATACTCCACTTCTCAGGCTCTCTTACAGCTAGGGTGGCATGGGACCCAGTTTTGGCCACTGAGCCCTGAGGGGAATTCTACAGTAGAGGTATTTTAGAAAGCTTTGCTGTCTTGTGTATTTCTTTAGAGATTGCAAAGCCTGTTGTGTCTTTCAGCCTTTATAGCTTTGCTGTGATGCAGTTTGTGTTATACTCATTGTTGAGATGAAGTACTTAGAGGTTCAAAAAGCAAAGTGAGTAGCTCAGAGTCTCATTGCTGGTAAATAGAAAAGCTGGGATTTGAACTCAGGTGCCCTAATTCGGGCTCCTTCTGCTCCACTAATAGAGAAGGTTTGGATGGTTCTTGATCCAGTGGGAAAGGTAGGAAGGTATTAATGATTGCAGAACTGAATAACATTATCACCAGCAGTCAGCATAGGCTCTTCTATTTCTCTAGCATTTTTTTGGAAACTCAATTTTTGGTCCATGCCTGTCACCAAGAGGAAGCAAGATACCACCTCCTTCCCAGTCCAGCATTTCGGGGTACAATGTGTTTTGTTGACCAGCAGCTCCACAGCCTCACCCTGGCCCACCATGTGACCACATTTCCTCATACACCCTGCACGGAGTTTGCCGGTCACTTACTGCCTCTGTAACATGACAAGAGCCTTCAGGCCTCTCCCTCTTTGCTTATAACTCTTGACTAAAATGTCCTCCATGACTCTTCATGTAATATGCTGCATTATAATTATTAACTAATATGCATAACCTCCTTCCTCTCATTGCTCTCCTGCCGTAGCTGTCCCACCACTAGGCTGTGACCTTCTGAAGGGTGTGAACATGTCCTACTCATTAGTACATCACATTGCCTAACATAGCACCTGACACATAGCAGGGGCCTGAGGGCTGATGAGTTGGACCACTCACTGGAAAAGTGAGAATGGGACAAGAACTGGAGTTGGAGTTACGCCAAAATCACATTCTCCAACGTGAAACAATAAGAATGAGTGAGGGACCACAGATGCAGTAAATCAGGAGTGTTGACGATATGCTAAGTCCCCACAGTGCTGCAGGTCTGCCCTAGGCCCCAGCCATAGCCCCATCACAGCTATGTGTGTGCTCAAGCCATTTTACTGCTGTGGTCACTGTCCTGGGTGACATATGGCCAGTGTCTGGCTAAGCAAGAGGCCATGACAAGCTGCCCTTGAAGCTGAGACATTCCTTCGGCTTCTCTGAGCAGCGTGGAAGGGGTGATGATTCATTGCAAATTGTCACTGAAGCATGTTCTGTGAGGTGTGATTTCTCTCCGAGAAGTGACCAGACTATAAAGCACCATCTGCAACCCAGAAGTGGGAACCATTTCCGTAACAGGCTTGATATGGACTTTGACCACCACATATCTATCCCAGGTAGTGAATTTATGGCCATACTACAAAATTTAGTATGAGCCATTTGCAATGACTCTTCAGTGAATGTTTAAAAGCCCTAAGATGTCCCTCTCGACTGGTTCAGCTTGTGGACCTCTCTGACTCTGAGACTCTTGGAAATATAGAGAAACCTTTATCCAGTTTGCCCGGACCACTGAGGTAGCCATTTATTCAAAAAAGCAAAGGCGTGGGATTCTTTATGCCACACTGGCCCAAGGGAGCTGTCCTCTTCCCCTTTGCTCACGGTGTCTGTGAGCTAAGGGAAGCCTGGGAACCTGGCTGGGGGGTGGATGCTGGGCCAGTGCCATCAGCCTGTGCTCTACGTGGGGGTGGAGGAACAGCTAGCTGATGGTGATGTTGCCAGTTTTGAATATCTACACTGTGCCAGGCTTGCCACCACTGACTTTACACCGTCACCTCATTTAATCTACAAAGTGAACCCAATTCCTCCTTGTAGAAGGAGCCAGGCAGGAGGTAGCAGAGGGAATAGAGCAGTCATTGCAGTTGGCTTTCTACAGACCACCCTGCACACACCTCCAGCTCCCCTCTCCCTCCCATGTCACAGTAGAATCCCAGAGGGCCCAGCAACCTTGGACACAGGACACTGCTGATGGATAAGGTCACACAGGGACCTTCCAGAAGTGAAAAGCCCCCAGAGGACTAGCATTTCTGTCCTTGGACTTGTGGGACTCAGTGTGTACTCAGATTGGCCATGTGTTACTGAAATACAAGAATCCAAGAATCCAGAGACTCAGGTCAGGGCTTGAATTTAGAACTGGGAACAATGGGAAGGGATCCAGAGCTAAAATTGCTCAGGCTGGAAAGCTCACTTGTTTGTCAGGTTGTTGGAATGCAAGTGTGTTGGGCGGTATCCTGGGCCACACTGCAGTGCTGCCTAGACAACCAGCTGTCGGCTATTCTCCTGTGTCCTGTTCTCTCATAGGGGACATTTGTGAGAACAAAGGGGAATGCGAGGCAACCTGCTGAAAAGTCACTCTCCAGGTACTCCAGCCACCTTCTGTACCCAAAACACAAAGACACAGAAGCCCCACTTCTAGTTTGGGAAAGGCTCACCTTGGCTGGTGCAGGGGTGATGTACCCAATATCTCCCTGTGTCACCCTATGTCCAGGCTGAGGAGCATGTGATGTTTACGCCTCGCCACGACCCATTTATAGCTGCGTTACTCATAGTCGCCATGGCCCTACATACATCATTTAGGAAATAGACTCCACTCAACACTTGTCTGCATTTGGTCCTTTCAACACACACTCGGGGGCAGTGCAATGATTATTTCCTCCTACGTGGTGCTAAATCATAGAGCCATAAACACGATGACACTCAAAAATAATCGAGAGAAAGGCCATGCCTCATATTCTGTCCAGTTCCATAGGCAAGAGCTGGCCATGCACCCAGAGCAAACTGGTTGAAGCTTTGGAGCTTGTTAGAGGACATTTGTGGAGCCCTCTAGTTTGAAGCACATTCCCACACATTGTCCCGTGCACTCATCATGACCATGTGAAGAGGAAGGCAGTGCATGCACCAAGGTCAGAAGACAGGAAGCACAGACTGCAACTGCACCCAGGCAACTCCAAACTCAGAACTCTTTCTGGTATCCCAAACAGCCACTCAGAAAGTAAAAGAAAGAAAACTCTAAGTAAAAACTTTTCTTAAACTATGAAACATCCACTAAAATTGGCTTTTGCGTATGAAGCCTTCTGTGGCTAACATAAAAATTGAAATGTTTCAACTAATACCTACTAAAAGTAGGAAAGGCGTGAGAGTCTCAAGGAGCAGGACTTTTTTGCGGGGGAGGGATAATTCTGCACCTGAAATCAAGATTCGAATAGTGTTATGTGCTGGACGTGAAGAATTTAAGTCACCTTAAGGCAAAGGCAAGTTGCATGTTCAGGCCAAATTTCATTAATGTAAATTCAAAAAGTTTCTTTAAATCCTATTGTACTGAGAATTTGTTACATCAGATATCAAGTTAGAGCTGGGGGCCGAGCAGCTGAGACACTGAATTTGAGATGTTGGTGGAGAAAGGGGCATAATCCAGACCACTGGCAGATCCTGGTTTTGTGGTCAATTTCTCTCCATCCATCAGAGCACAGACCTTCCTGTTTCTAAAGCAGCCAGTAATTTCACTGGGGAAACACTGACCCAAGACTTATCTAGGGAAGCACAGCTCAGTAACGCCCAGAGGTAGATGAAATAATAAACAAGCCAAGTAAATTGTTGTCTTAACTGAGAAGTTCTCAGAGTTCCTGAAGACAGTGAAACTTCTTTGTTGTTTAGGCCTGAGCTTTCAATGTCTAAAGACAACGGTGCTTACATCAGAAATACCCAGCATCCTCCTAGAGCTGTCTAGTAACAGTCTGTGGTAGCCAAAGGTTCTGGAACATCCAAATGGAAAACCAATTCCTTGACATAAAGTTAACAGAACCTATGAAACAAATGTAGGCTTCCCTGTCTCTCCCGTAGGGCATCCAGAAAAGCACGTTGTCATGGCAATCACCTTACAGCTGATAGACTTTGCTAATTT